GTTAGGTTAGGTTAGGTTAGGTTAGGTTAGGTTAGGTTAGGTCATCAGCTCTTTAATAAATTAGTGGCATTCTGTTCAACTAATGTTTTTCAACAAAAAAAAAATTAATGTTTCACTCAACTTAAATTTTTTTAATATCCGACTTTAAAAATTACAATCCTACTGTTTTTTTCGAAATTCCCGCGCTAATCTACGAGATAGCATCCGAATAGTCAATGGTCATCGGTCGATTACCGGTGCGCTCGTGGCAACTTTTCAACGCCTCTTTCCTTCTCAAAGTGCTTAATCGATAATGACGACTGTGTCGACTAGTTTGAAATTTTCCGAACTTCTTTTAGTGCCGTAGAAAACTCTGTAGGTCTCGTAATTTGAATCTAGAATGTTTTCGAAAAAACCCAATGAAGGGCTACTAGCCAGAGTGAATTTCCCTCTTTTTACTGTCCAAATGTTAACTAGTCGACATGTATTAGTGGCAGGTGGAGGTGGCTCCGCAAAAACTGGAGTAGCAAATGGTTTTGTAAGTTTGTAAAGTTGTCATTCTTATTATTTCAACAGCAGACCCTACATAAACTTGAAAAGGCTCACAATTCTTTGCTCTTCCTTCATCACAACTGTCGGTGTATTTGATGTTTCTTGTAGAAGAACAATATGTCAGGTCCCGCACATCCATATCTCGTATCGCCCACTTATATAAGAGCTCGTGAGCCTCTCTTGTCTGACAAGGTAGCTCATTAAAGAAATAGTGTTAGAGAGTTACCAACACCAATTCACACAGGTTATCATTCCTGCAGGCGAGTTATGAGACCCCATTTCGCAATGGCACGGAGGGTTTGAATGCAATGCATCAATCTACGGGAGGGGCCAATATTGCGTCATGCTGGCTGTGGTCAAGGAATGGTTGGGCAGGGAAGTAGATCTCTTCAAGAGATACAGTGACTGACCTTTAAGGATTGGTCTTGAGAGTAATGCTTAGGGAGATGAACTTTCTGATATATTTGGTGGTCAGGGAACGCTGGAGCTCTCATTGTGAGACAGAAATTTGGTAATTGACTTAATTCAATGAACTTTTCGTCAATCAGTTAATTGAGTTACTGGACGAGAAGAGAGCTCTTCTCAATTGTGGTGTTTCAGAATCTCTGTTGCTAATCAATCCCTTGGAGGAGAATTTAATGGGTAATTTTTCCAGAATTCTTTTCACAGAGAATTGTAGAATCAAATGGAATATTCAGTAAAATTTTTAGTGGTATGGATGCATTCACTTTCCTTACAATCAATGAAATATTAGAGAAGACTGAAACATTGCAACCGAGAAGTGCCCTATTCGCATCCAGTGCCTCAGTTTACAGGTGATCATCCCCCTGATACCATTTTTGAATTCAGTTACATCAGACTTTGAAAGAATGAGATAATAACATATCTTTGCACTACTCAGGGAGAGAAGATTATTTAAGATAAGATTTTTTTAAGATAGATCTACCCTTATTTACTCCAAGATTGGTTAAGCATACGAGTCATCCAGTGGGAAAATTATCTTGACAACTCTCTAATAGTCCAGCAAGGTAAGTAGTGATAAACTGTTGCAGTTAAACAAATCTCCAATCTCTCTTTCAAATCAACTGCATAATGTTCCAAAGGCCCTCCTTGATATGTTTTCCGTGCATAATATAATGTTGATTCGAAGGTGGTTAGTCAAGTGACTCATCATAGCTTTCTGTTTTTTGTTCTACGCCAGGAAGTGTTTGAGCTTCACCACAATGGTCAGCAATTTTCGGCAGAGGAATGTTTGCGGCACATCACAGGTGGTAGTGTTGTCATGAACTGCTCCACACTATGCACTTCTCGGAATACCTACCTAGTGGCAGGTCAGGAGAGCCACTGCCAGCTGTATACTGTCAATTTTAGGGTTGTTTCTGGTGAAAATTCCTTCGATAGAGAAGACACAAGTACGTAGTTCAAACCTCAATTTTCCTGTATTTAAATGAAACTCCAAATGACTAATATCAACTACCTAGGTACTTAAGTTTAATGAATTTGATTTCAGATTTTTTTGGCCCGAGACTTTTATTTCATTGCCTTAATTGTTAAGGGAAAATAGCAAACGACTGTTATTTTAGTAATTTTCCCTCCAAAATTAATGCTCTCAACTATTCAAAAGACTTTTCTTGCACATAACTATAATTTTTTTTCAACAGCTTCAACCGTTCCATTGACAAAGCAAAGAACTAAGCACCTCAGGAAGCAAAACTAATAACAAAAATCCTCGAAGAGTTTTAGTCTTCTACTTGACTTTTATCATTACTTACTCTAAGCGTTTGAATGACTAATTCCGAAAGCAACTCTATTGCGGCGTTTCAAAATTTTTCCCTCCGCTTTAATATCCTGAAGAAAAACAAGTTAACTTTATTGCTTGAAATTTTCAAAAATTTTCTCAAAAGAAAGAAGACAAATCCTGGGTATTTTATATAATGAATAATGTTGATTCACCTTTAAGTTCGAAAATAAAATTTCAATGGAAGTGGGCACATTGTACATCGAAAAATGATATCCTTTAAGTTGAGCCATTGATGTCTGAAAATTTTGCCTGTTCCAGTCATCCTTGATTTTCAATGGTAATCATGATATTTCAATTTCTAATCTAGTATTTTTTGATGCAGGTAATGACAACAAAGAAGTTGAAGTACGGAAAAGGAAGAAACGAAATTCTGATTCAGCATCTGGATTCAAAGAGCATAATAGTTCAAAAGATATACCATTAGATAGTGGGAAAGTGTTAGAATTGGCCATAGAGCCTTTGAAAAGCGTCCAGACAGACTTTAGGTAAGACAGCAATCCAGGTTTCTCATGGTTTGCACAGGTACTTTGGAATGTTTGATTTTTTTTCCCCTGCTCTTTTATGTATCATAAAATACACTCAACTTCGGCTTATTTGAAACAATTTTTGGGAAGACTGATTTTTTTTTTTTTTTTATAATTTTCTTTCAGCTCTCAGCGTGCAGAAAAAGCCCAGTAAATAGACTTCTCTCTATTCTTCTCCTGTTTTCTTTTCCAATACGTACTCGTATTTTGCAGATGTTTTAAGAGGCTTTTTAAAATAGGTTTTTCATCTGTTTTTAGTCTCTTATTGTATATTTTATTCATAAATATTCAATGCAGCGTTTATTTAAATTTTGTGTTAATTCATCAAATTTAATGAACCATTTCATACGAACTTTCCTCTATCAGAATCAGCCAAACAGTCTTATTAGTTCGGATAATGCAAGGTTTAGTGTGTTCACTTTCTGAAAAATCATCTGTAAACGTGAATTTCAGGGGCTTTCCATTGGTACCAGAATGGTTTAGCTTGCATCAACCATTCTAAAGTGACAGACTCTTGAAGGTGCCATGTCCATGAATATGCCCCATTTTTAAAGCTCTACCAAAGTTGAATGAGGGTTCAAAAAAATGTACATCTAGGTTTTTCAACTCAGGTCACCAAGCAGTATGAATGATCTAAATTTCCTCCAATTTTGATTTGTTAAACTCGTATCACTGGTCTGATTTAGCATGGAATGACCCATACATGAATATTCTCGACATTCCTTGAGAATTGACAATATCTTCCAAGAAATAGGTTGAAATATTAATTTTTTCTTTAACCAACTGTTTCTTTTTCCAGTGATGGGGAGTCGCTACAACGTGTTGTTCGAATTAGTCATATTGGCAATCTTATGGCCACTGGCGGTACTGATGGTTATTTGAGGCTGTGGACTTTTCCTGACATGAACAGTCTGCATAACATTCCAGCGCATTCAAAAGAGATCGATGATCTTGACTTTAGTTCAGACGAAAAATTAGTAAGACTCGTTATTTCTTTTCCATAAATTTTTTTAGTAAGTATGACCAATAAAAGACACTTGTCCTTCAGAACTGGAAGCTAAGATATTGGTAGCATGCTTAAGGGAGTGAAATACGAGCATTTGGTGCAAAAGACATAGTCTTTGGTTTCGGTCTTTTGGTCTCAGTTGTAGTTAAAAAAAAAGCAGTATGAAGAAAAAGCAACATCTATCATGTTTTAGGTTTGTAAATTTTTGATCATATATGAATGTATACTCAAAGGAACTATCTGCAAGTGGAAAGTTGGGGTGTGTTCGTGGTGAGCTGCATAAGAAACAAGGTGGATATAGTTCCTTTTGAGAAAATGGAAAAGCGGGATTTGACATCACATCAATTGGAACGGAGCGCTAACTCGTGAGCCGCTAGGGTGGCCGTTAAAAATAGCTTTTTCGAATTTTCAATGGGAGAACCCTGCAAAAGTTTCCTTTTAGTGTGTAAAGAAAGACCAAAAAAAGAAAATAAAAAAAAAAAAATTTTTAACCGTGCCGCACGGCCGTTGTATGTGGTACGCTTGCAAGTTCGATTTCCGCAAATCGCGCTTTTTGGCGTTTTGAAGCGTCTCCGAAGGCATGATAGAATTCATCTAGACATCTGAAACTATGGTGATTAACTCAACTTTTTGCGTTCTTTCACGTGGTGTTAACAGAAATTTTTTAAAATTTTTCAAAGTACGATTTTTTTGCTCTCAAAGTAGGGCGAAAAGACGATATGCGGAAATTGAAATTCGCACATCGCGGTATATCACGTTTTGGCGCATTGCTTACGCATGATAATTTTCATGCAGAGATCTGATAATATGGTTAGTGACTCAACTTTTTTCGTACTTTCACGTGGTGTTAACAGAATTTTTATAGAATTTTTCAAACTACGATTTTTTTACCTTCAAAGTAGGGCAAAAACACGATATCTGGAAAATAATTATGTTAATTCATATCTTGGCTTTTTAAAAATTCACCCTCGTCTTTCAAAAGTGGCTGCCATCTTGGATTTGGGGTACCCTTTTTGACCAGGGGACTTTTTTGACTTCATATCTGAAATCTGCGACCAAAATTACATAGGAATTAACACCGCACATGACACTGTGAGCGGACTTTAAGAAAATCAAAATCCCAGAGGCCTTATTATGGCCGCCATTTTGAAATTTAGGCAATTTGGGGGGATGTTCCGGGATGGAACCGTGGTAAACTTTTGGTATGTTGTTCAAGAGGACCTACTGACGACGTTTACAGAGGAAAATTTTGTTAAACAATATTTTGTTCCGAGTTAACTCTCTTTATTTCGGATTTCTCCTTGACAAACCCCCTAAAACCCCGAAAGTCATGAATTTAAGGATACAAATTTTGGGCAATATGCACGTATCTACTGACACTTGATTGACTATTAATGTATAGGATATGCATTTACAATCCTCAAAAACAGCCTAACTTGACTTTTTCAGCGCCTTGACCCGAAATTCCGGCCAAAATAGCGAAAAATCGCATTTTCTCAAAAACGGCCAAACTACGAATTTTGCAGTTTGTTGTTCCTCAATCAGTAGGCCTTTTAGTTGAAATTTACGCAAAAAAAATTGCGGGTGGTATGTAGACGGCATTAAAAGTGTCTAAAACATACTCTGTGAGGTGTCTTTCCGAGTGGTGGGCATTTCGGAGTAAAATAAAAATGAGTCCTTACATTGGGGGGGGGGGGGGGGGGCTAAATTTCACACGACATTAAACATACGAAAGTTGGTCGTTGACCCTCTAAACAGATGGTCGTCATACAACTAACAAGTAAAGTATGTGAAAATATGAATGCAGCTCAGACACTTCATCCGATTTCAAGCATATTTTAACGTGTTCTATGCACGCGAGATCACAGCTAGTTGTGGACCACCTGCGAACGCGTTGCAACCTGCAGCTCTTACAATGGACTCAAATTTCAGCTCAAAGTTTATGGCAAAATATATAAAGTGTTTCAAAAAGCAATTCCCAAGTCGCCCGGACTGATGATGAAACTTAATGAAGCCCAGACATGACTTGACAAAATTATTTTCCAGATATCGTGTTTTTGCCCTACTTTGAAGGTAAAAAAATCGTACTTTGAAAAATTCTATAAAAATTCCGTTAACACCACGTGAAAGTACGAAAAAAGTTGAGTCACTAACCATATTATCAGATCTCTGCATGAAAATTATCGTGCGTAAGCAATGCGCCAAAACGTGATATACCGCGATGTGCGAATTTCAATTTCCGCATATCGTCTTTTCGCCCTACTTTGAGAGCAAAAAAATCGTACTTTGAAAAATTTTAAAAAATTTCTGTTAACACCACGTGAAAGTACGCAAAAAGTTGAGTTAATCACCATAGTTTCAGATGTCTAGATGAATTCTATCATGCCTTCGGAGACGCTTCAAAACGCCAAAAAGCGCGATTTGCGGAAATCGAACTTGCAAGCGTACCACATACAACGGCCGTGCGGCACGGTTAAAAAATTTTTTTTTTTATTTTCTTTTTTTGGTCTTTCTTTACATACTAAAAGGAAACTTTTGCAGGGTTCTCCCATTGAAAATTCGAAAAAGCTATTTTTAACGGCCACCCTAGTGAGCCGCGGACATGCGAGAAGAGCCTTGTGGACAGGGCTCATGAGTTAAAGCCGCTGACATCACTGGCGCTTTAAAATCCCCGTTCATTCTTATGGCCCACAACCAACGAGCATACCCCATCCTTCCACTTGCACATAGTTCCATTTAGCATAAATATGTCCATATGACCTCACCCTCTGCAGGCTGATCATTGAAATTGATAAACAAAGCAATAGCTAAAGGAGACAAAGTATAAATGGAGCAATTCTTTTGGTTGAAATGTGTGATATTTATAAACAGAGGGGGAAAATGATGAACTAATTATAAAGTCTCTCATGGGTTGCCAATAATGAACATATTAATTGTCTTCTTTTATTTATCGCTACCACCTGCTTTCACCATGTTTTTTCATTCCTTTATAAAGAGTTTTCTGATTGTAAATTGTCACTAAATGATTATTTGTAGATGTCCGTGCAAATACTGTTTCCCTTGCTAGCTGTCAGCTTTAACATTGTTTTCATCTCACTTACATATCATCTGCAATAGGCTACATATCAGAACGTATTGTCCTGCCGCAGGTAAACAAATTTTGGATAAAATTTGTCATGGTTTAAGGAGATGATGTAGGCAACTAGTAGCAAAAAATTCTCTAAGTGATCTCAAGTACATTTATACTTCTGAAAGATTTGTGAATTTGCATTACTTTTCTTTCAGTCCTTGTACTAGTAGTGTGTGTATGTGACGTTTCCTTCCTTTTCAGATTGCAAGCGTGGCAAAAGATGGACGTGCTGTTGTTTGGAATGTTTCCACGGGAAAAAAAGCAAAAGAATTACAGTGGGTCTTTCCGAATGGAACAAAATATCTTTGTAAGAGGTGTAGGTGTGTATGATCTTATCCTTTCACTATTTTGCCTGTCTGTAGCAAAAGAATCTCACTCTCAATTGATAGCAATCCCAAAAACAGATAAGAAGTCAGAAGCTTTGAAGCTAATATGAGTGGGCAAAGTACACTCTACTATAGGTAATAACACTATAGGTACTATAGGTGACAAATGGAATTTTAGGAAGTCGTCAAAGCGCGTAGATTCGACAGCCTTCAATGATTTGACTGCGACGCCATATTGAAAACTTGTTTACTTTCTGTTCTGAGAGTGGGTCTCGTTAATTTTGTGTTATTTTTTTGTGTTCTCAGTTAAGTTTTTCGTTACTTTGAGTTTTATCAATTTTTTAAATTCATCTGATAGCTTATTGAAGCTACCAGATCTGCCAGGCCCTCTGCAACAGGTCATTTTGAACCGCGTGGCAAAGACGGTATGACTTGTGATGGCCTATATTCTCAGCGCTGCCACTTTGGCACCCGTTTGTCCATAATTGTAGTAGAGTGTACCTTGATGAGTGGGTACATGAACAAACAGCTTGATTTTGAATGCATTCCTTTTTCGGAGAACTTCTTTCTGCAAGTGACACAAACCCAAGTTTTCACATGAAATTTCATGACCATATCTCAATTTTTGAACGGAGTCAAGGATTTTTTCCTTGGAAAGGTCATTTTTTGACCACAAAAATTAAAAATGTAGAACATAGTTTTCTGTTAAAGTCATTTTACACTCTTGCTGTTTTCCCACCCTCATGCTTGTATAAATTTTTTCGAAAACCAGGGATATAGACAATAAAAACGGTGTAAGTTTTTCAAATCCAATAAATAGAAGACAATTTTCCAAAATGACCTCTCTTTTCCAAAGTGATCCTTGCAAAATGAGTCGGCCGCTCATGGCCCCATTTTGGTGTTTCGCGCTTCTTTTAGTCAGGTAGACTCAACTTTTCTGCTTTAATTTACTATCTTATTCCCCAATTTTTGTTTCAGGTTTGGCGTAGTTGAAGATAAGAAGGAAATAATTAGGTTATTCATTTTGACGAATCCTGTCGGGAAAGGCCCGTCTTTTATTCAGCAGTGGGATGCCTTAAGTGGTGAATTGACAAAATCTGCTGGACTTAGTGAAAGTGGTAGCGCTCTGGCTGTCAGAAATGATGGTAGATTTGTTGCTGTTGGAACAATGTTTTCTGGTTCTGTGCATATATTTGTGGCATTTAGTTTACAGGTGATCATTTTTTTTTTATAGAATTTTTGGCACTTTTGACAAGTAAGGAAAAATGTAATAGTCAACTATTTCTAATTGACTTCTCGAATTGGAGAATACGTTTATTCTGATCTGTTCATAATCGCCAAAAACCAGGTTCACCACGAGAGAAACGTAAGGAAACCCAACTCTGTGAAGTCGATCTTTAAAATAATCATTAGCCTTTCTGACGTATGATTCCAATCATTTCAAAGCCCTTGTTTTTTCCCTATCTAGAAAAATAGGCCAAAAAAAAGCTTTAAAACAACTTTAAGCATTTGTCGATAATTACTGACAGCCCTCAAAATGTTTTCTGTTTGGCATAACTTTTTATGTTACTTTTGCGGGCAACCTGGTTTACTGCAGCCATGATTAAAGTGCCGGTAGGCATGTGGCAAACTTGAAAGTGCGTAGTTTGGACTGTGCAAATTGTGCACTACGTAGTGGACTTAAGGTATATGATATATTCATCGTTATTTTAGTTTGATTTTATCTCCCTGAGGTCCAGTTACTCTTCTGAATCTAGTATCTTGTGTGCAAAAGGTCTGTTTTAAGCATAACCTTTTCTCCTAACACAATTGTTGACACAAATGACAGCAACAGTTGACAGAGAAAGTTCATCCCCCTATAAATAATCTTTTGATAACATCTGGACTTTTTTAAGCAACCTAGATCTAGCAAACCAAAAGGAATTTTGAAAAAAGTATGCATTTGCCAAAGTAGTGATAGACTTCGTTTTTGTCTGTCGTTTCTCAAAACGCTCCTGGATGATAGATCCCTTCCCTTTTATTATGTCTAATTGGACTCCATTTTGCAGGGAGGAACCGCTATCGCAGGCTCATCCCTAAGAGCACCTATCTGGGTAGGGAAACTGAGTAGCATGTAAGCTTTCTCTAACATGAGCCAGGAATAATGCTAAAAGGAGCTATGCTGCATACAAACCCAATACATACAGTTCCTTTTAGCATGAATAAGTCCCACTGTTCATAAATTATGCTCTCTCAGAGATATATTAATTTTGAGCTAATGACAGGAACATTCATGCAAAGTTCTGTAATAGTCTTTGGGTCCTGTGCATTTTCTCTCTTTTCTGTTCATTTGTCAGGGTGTCTAGCATCAAGAAAAACCGGTAAATATCAGGAATTTTGGTCGAACAGGAAATTTGGAAAAATCGGGCATTTTATCAGAAATTTTTCTTACGCAAATCTCCTCAGCGGAGGAGTCTTTCTGCTTTTTGCGCACCGTGCCAGGAGTCATTGAGCCGTCTTTGTTTCCGATAATTTCTCACCCTTTAACTTAACTTTATTAGAAAATTTAGTTTCCGCATGAATTTATGCAATAAATATGGTTTTTATGAGAAAAATCAGGAAAATATCAGGAATTTTCAAAGTGAAAAAATCAGGAATTTTTTATAAAATATCAGGTTTTTTCAAAATTTAAAAATGCTAGACACTCATGTTCGCGATCCCTTGCTCCTTCAAAGCTGGACATTCTATTCCCAAAGGTCCACATCATTCAAATTCACTTTGGTGTCTATTTAATTGTTCCGGTCTATCCAAAATTATCTAATTATTGTTTTTTCCTTTCAGCAAGTTCTTTTGGTAAGGCACGTCCATGACATGTTTGTGACCGGATTAGAATTTTTGCCGGTGCAGCAGGATAGTTCCAGCTCTGTTTCCCCTGTGGAGGCAGCAGTGCTTAGCATATCTGTTGACAACAAAGTTTGCATTCACAGCCTCCCATTTAGAAGTAAGTTATTCTATAGTGTCCATCAATATCATTGATAAAATCTAATGCACTTGATTTGTTGCAATTGTATGGCAGAAATTTCATTGTATTTAAAATAGACCGATTTTAACCAAAACGCTCGAAGTTGCAACAAGTTTGAACAGAGAAGAGGTCAGAAGTTTTATTTGTCCTTAAGATTTATTGTTGCGGACAAAGTTTAATGGCTGTTTTCCTGTTCAAAATATTTTTTCTCAACTTTGATCTTTTGACAGGAGAACATTTTATGGTTAGTTAAATTCAAAACTACTCTTAAATCATTTTTTCCGAAATCGACTTCGTCCATTTAAAGTTATTACAGTTTTTCCATGCTTATATCTGTATTTTAGGGATTTAAATTCCAGAAAGATCTCAATAAAAGCTGTAATATCTCTCTTTTATCTCTGCTTACGGTTTTTCTGTCATGCTGAAAAAAAATTGAGCCACTTACAACTTTTTCTTTGGAATTTTATAGAGTGTCTTTTATTTACAACTCAATTTTGATGAAAATGGCTTCACTGAAAACTTGGCCACTTCATAAATGAGTTACTTTTCACATAAGCGTTTGCAATTTTTTTTGACTTCATATTGTATTCTATTTTTCAAATGGAAAACTATTCATCGGCAATTCTTCAAAACTACCGCAATATTTCCTCTGTAAGTGAAGAAAATTCTGTGAAAACTTCATGAAATGATGTTGATTTATTCCCCTGTAAAAATATAAATTAGGAGCGGAGATTTAACAACACCGCAAACAAACTACGATGTTTGGGAGTTTCAACATTGATATTCATAATTCAGGGTGTTGAGCATCAGAATTTTCTCGGTTCTATCAGGATTTGAGATCAATCAGGATTTAATCCCAATTTCATCAGAATTTAAGGAAAAATTGGTCGTAAAATCAGGATTTGAGAAAAGTTGGCTGTTCGATCGGATTATTTAATCAAGATAGGGCTGTGCGAATATTCGCAATTCCGACTATTCGCGCCGCGAATATTCGGCGAATATTCGCTTCGTCTGCCTCGCGCACTGTTCGCAAATTGCGAATATTCGCGCCGTCACAAGGAATGAATTTTCAAGTATTCGCGCCATCCAAAATAACGAATTTCCGAGTGGCAATCGTGAAACGTTGCGAGGACCTGCTTAAGGCTTCCGCTTCCACTCGAGACATCGCAAACGGTGGATCTCCTTTGATCTTTACCGACTTTGCTGAGTTTACGAACAGCGAGCGCGATTGCGATTGGGGGAATAAGCAAAGAGCCCAAAGTAAGGATTGAAAGACACAGAAATTTCTGAAATTGAAAAAAAAAGGTCATAAACACATTTTTATTTACAGCGAGAAAAATAAAATACTAAAATGTGTCTAGTGAACCTTCAATACTAGCTTGACTGCCCGCGTAGTTACCTTCAAATCCTGAAAATGCATACGTAACTGCAGGGACAGTCAAGCCAGCATCCAGGGATCTTCGAACAAATTCTTAACAGCCTAGGCTACTATCATAGCATTTCATTGTTCTCTGTGCAGGCGTAAGAGCAAATGGAAAATTCTTAACAATTAGTCACATTTTTTTTGTCGACTTCTGTAATATTCGCGAATTTTCACACTTAAAAAAGTCATTTCCAATTATTCGTTTTACTATTCGTAGCTGTGAATAATTGACTCAAATTATTTGCTATTCGCTTCGCTATTCGCGAATAGTTGCCAAAATTATTCGCTATTCGCTTCGTTCAGAAAATTCACTATTCCCACAGCCCTAAATCAAGATATTTTTGTGAAGTTACATTCGCCTTGCATGAAGTCAGGATTTGGTCAGGATTTGATCAGGATTCGGATAAATTATGAAATCAGAATTTGGCGGTCAAAATCAGGAAAAATCAGGATTTCATCAAGATTTCCCAAAATGAAAAAAAACTAGACACCCTGTAATTGGACCAAGCTCATCAGAAAGGAACTAACCCACATTAAGTTGAAACTGAGAAAAAGAGGTTTGAAGTTTTTATTCCTGCGTAAGGCTCCATGTAGAGAATAAACTTCAACCCCTCTCCTAGCAAACTAATTTCGTTTTTTTCGACTTATAGTTTTTGGCAGGAGAAAATATACAGCTAGGGGAACTCAAAAACATTCTCAACTCGATTTTTTCGAAAATGTGGGTTTGTTCCATTCTGATAAACGTGGTCCAATTTCACTTCCAAATATGTACTTCATTGGGAGAAATTTGGCAACATTCAAAAGTCAATATGGCGTTTCTCTTTAGCATGGCAGTTTGTTTGTCACAGATGGTCTGTTTAAAATATGGATTTTTTAAGTAAGTTGGTCTACAAATGGTGTTTATGTTTCAGGATCTCTGCCTCTTTGGGTGTTCCTGCTCATGATGGTCATCGTCTTGTTCAGCTCGTTTTTCCTCTGTTGTTTCTTTGGCTTGTGATACAGTCAAGAAGCCTGGATAATAAGTCTCGCTTTTGATAAGTTGTCCAAGTCATCAAGTTCAGATTAAATTAATATCTCAATTTCGACAGGTTAATGAGCCACTAAACAAGGTTCGAATTCAAGCATTGCAACACATGTATTCTTGTCAAAATTTAAAAATTTTAGAGCTCAACTTTTTTGTGTAAAACAAGCGTTTTTTGTGTTGTGAATTCAAACTTTTTGCTTGCCCAATAATTAGAATCCTCTTGAATAAAATTGGGCTCTATGCGGATTTCAAAGTACTTTACAGCTAAGTGATATCTCAGTGTGCTGAATTGTCCTGGGCAAGTTAAATCAGAGGAATCAGAGGAATAAAGACATTTTTGAGAAGCCCCAACTTCAGTCATCTGTCAGACTTTCCTTCCGATTGCTGGTTGAACCCAAGGCGGTAAAAGTTCTTTTTGGAAGTGGAAACTTTGAATTAGCTTCTCCAACTGTAAACAACAAGCACTATTTTCTTATTTTTAGGTTGATCTCGTAAATTTTCACTTCGCAATATTTTCGATCAAATTTTGATCTGAAAACATCTTTTGTGATGCTTTAAGTCGTAATGTGTTTATTGGTTCACTATCGAACCTCAGTCAATTGTTTATCAATTTCTGAGAGTTGGAAATGATCAATATCCTCAGTGCTACAAGGCGACCGCATGATATTCTTAACCTTAAAGGAACTTAAACGCCCCTTTTCATCAGGAATTTTTCTCTAATTGTGAATCTCAATTTTCTATAAGAATTGTTTTGCTCAGGCCACCAGATTCTTGTCAACTGAGAGAAACAGCCAACACTTAATCTTAGCAAAACTTAATGATTCATAGGATGTTTTGGATTTCCATCCTTTATTTATTGATCAAGGTTGCCAGATGAGCCATCGACTGTGATTCAACAATATTAAGATACATCGTTTTTTGGAAAGCCATTTTAATGGCTCTCTCCAGCAAACGTCTGAACTGGATAACAAGTTATTATGCATTTCGTTTTCAAATTCAAGCCTCTGTATGCATATTGAGGTAGCTTGTCGCGCCTTTCTAGTAGAAATTTTAATCTCGAGCCAAAATTATTTTAAAAAGAAAGAAAAGTTCCATTCAATTTGAATGATCAAATCTATTTCATTCAAATTTTAATAATTTGAAGTATCAATCCTAATTTAAGTGACAAACGGTACTAAGTTCCAACACAAACCATTGTAATTTTCCATTTCAGAGCACTGATAGATTCTATCACAACTGTTACAATATGTAAGTTACATTCAATTTTTAATATTGTTAATTTATTTTGGGAAGCAATCTACCCCCTTTTTTCAACAACTCATTAACAAAGAGATTATCTTATCAGTTTTCTGGAGAAAAAAAGTTTCCTAAGGAAAAGCTTGTTGAAAAAATTGGTGGGTATTGGGAATGAATTGAAGTCATTTTCAAGTTCAGTCAACTGTTCTGGGAGCCTCTATGATTTTACATTGCTGCCTGTAGACTCATAGTTTTGGTCCCAGTACAAATTTTTCATCTCTGTGAACTAAAATACATGCTGACCTGGTGTCTCTTGTCAACAAGCATTATGGGATATGAATCATTGCATTCATCTTTGAGAAATATTTGTTGTTTGTTTTTTATCTTGGTTTATATCTTGTTCACATTTTAGTCAAGCAATTGGATCATCGATTTGCTTCTTGATCATTGATCATAACTTTTTGTAGTTACGTATCAGAATCACATTTTTTTTTTTTTTTTTATTTTTTTTTTTTAATTTATTCATTTAACAGGTTGTAGTTATTCTATTTTAGGGGCTAGGGTTATTCTATAGGGCTAACTTTAAAGAGAGTTTTTTTGCTCTTAAATTACCAGCAGGCAAAAATCAAACAAATTGGAAGTTACTTGCACAAGTTCTCTAGCAATCAATTCTCTATGCCAAAGTGTGACTTTTTTGTTGTAATACTTTATTGTTCAAGTCATCAGGAAAGGGTTTACACTGGCAAAGCCCCCTCCCATTTTTCATTAATTTACTCTTTCATTTTACTCTTTTGTGGCTTTTTATGGATAGAAAGTGTTAACATACCCTCTTGTATCCAATTTAATTTTGTTAATTTGTTGCTCTAACTGTTGAAACTAGTAGAATCAATCGCCAAATTATTCGCATTCCTTTTTACCTAGTAATTTTTTTTTGCATGCGCAAATAATCCAGTATAATTATTGCATTTTTCTGCCATCAGGAAGTTTTAAATGTGCAGGAAATTTGTGATAAATTTTAATGGTGCATTTGTTTATTTAAAAGATAATTTCATCGGCAAAATGAAATGGAGAACAATCAGTGGTTGAAAAGATTTAAGTAATAATCTGTGTCTTTTATATAAAGAGCCTCTGATCGAGTGATCCTGCGTATACTCAGACTATTCCCTTGTTCCTTTTAAAATTCTTCTAGAAATTATCCTTCTAAAAATTCTTGTTTGGTGTTCGTCTGTTTTTCACCTTGCTCAACTCAGTTTTCTCATTAAATAGGTTTCGTACGATGTAAATGAATCATTGGTTAGTAGAAGGGCATTTTTCGTTTGTAATGTTTCAGAATCTCTGCTGCAAATTATATTGTAGAGATGGAACATGGGACAAATTTTCTGAAATTTTCTGTTCAGAGCGTTTGCATAATTATGAAGAATATTCGGTAAAATTGTTGACAAATTACTTTAATTTGCTGTAAGCAAAATGGATGAGACCTTATTGGAGATTCCAAGACACTGTAACTGAGAAGTGCTCTTTCTGCATCCAGTGCTTATTAGATTATAACAATGATTTATGAACTTATATGATTTACAGCACAGAAAAATGTGATGAAACTCTCCAAAATTGTAGCGCTCTGAGTTGCTGCTTTTATTCTATAATTTTTTTTATCATGAAAAAGAACAAGCTGACTTAATTGGTCAAAATTTACATCGGATATTCGACACACAGCATAAAGATCTTGAAGTTTTTTTCAAAAAGAGGTGTTGATCAGTTATTGTTTGAAAATTAAAATAAGTTCAGCAATCAGAAATTTTTCAATTTTTGATGTGTTCTCTGAGTTCAAAACTGACAAAATGAAAGGGGAATGTTGACTGGACGTGTAGTAATTTTATTGGATTTTGTCCTCTGCATCCCTTATATTTAGAGTTGTAGTTTGAAAGGGTGATCCGCTCCTTTTCTAAATGAATACATCTTTGTTATGACATGTTTTTTTTAAGTCGCTGTATCATTTGTATATAATTTCATTTTCCAAAGTTTTTATCAATGTTAGAAAGTTTGTTGGTTATTTAAAGATTAAAAGTGCATAGTACAGCTGCAATCCACTGTTTTATTCCTCTATATACTAACCTACGTTTTTACTTATCTATATGAATAATATTTGGAACGAGTAGGGGCTGATTTCAAATAATACAGTTCAAGACTACTCAGAATTAAGTACACATTGATTTATAGTCAAAATATTTCGTCTGCCGTGAGAGGAATGTATCTCGCCCATGCTGTTTCAGTATGTCCACAAACATTGTATTTTTTTATAGCGCAAATTACTGGGTCTTTTTTCATACTGCGGTAAAGAAAAATCACAAGAAATTTAGGAAAATATAAGGGACAGCTCTCTCATATGCAAGTAAAATTTAAGTTAGATATACTGGAACAGCCCAATGGAGACTCCTTTTTCCAACGTTCTGTTTTGCAGGAAATGGCCACTCAGTAAATTTCATGTTATCAAAAAATATTTTTTTTGTCCAATGTATTCTCTTAAATTTATTTCAACTGAAAATAAAGGTAATTACCACAAAGATCATTGAGATTTGCAAGGGAGGTGTAAACACCAGATTTATAAGCTCAGTAATCACATATTTGGACCTGTATTTTTATATAATATTGCAGTGAGACGTTAGAAAAGTTAAAGACAGTGCTCGATCCTGATGAAAGGTCACAGTGATTCTCTTATATCTGTAAAAGGCCTTTTTTCCTCTCACAGGCTCAGTATGATAGGGTTGATATCCCTGATGACTTTTTATGCAGTTACTCATAATATCAATGGCCAAAGGGCGAAATCACGTATCTCAATTTTCAACATTACAGACTTCTTGTCATTCTTTATTTACTACATGGACAACTACTTAACGTAAGTTCTTGAAAAGTGCCTTGATTTTTCTGCTCTCTCAGCAGAATATTTGGACGTATTTCTGCCAAACGGAACTATGTGCATTAAGACATGAGCCTTGAGACCCATGAGAGTAAATGCATAACAGGGCTCACGTCATAATGCATACAGTTCCGTTTGGCAGAAATACGTCCATTTTGCACAAACAAGCTATGAAGTTGGCTTGTTCATCTTTGAAAAAAATAAAATAAGAGCGGAGATTTTGAAACACCACAGTGGAGATGCGTAGTTTTGCACTTCAGCCATTGATATCAATTTTAAATAATTGCTAGAATTCCACAAAATGGGACTTAAATGACAAGATAGCCTATCCAGCATTTCGTCAGTGTAAGTCCTTAACCACGTTTCTCGGTTTGCGACGTTGCAGACTTCCTGTCATACTTCATTTTTCAAGTGGATAACTATTCAACCGCAATTTCTCAAAACTGCCGTGATTTTTCTTCTCTGTGCAAAGAAAATTCTGCAACTGCAAGGAATGGTGTCAATTTGTTCTCCTTTAAGAAAGTAATATAGAGACGGAGATTTTCAAACACCGGTCAACGAGATACGTTGTTGCGGACTTAAGCCGTCGATTTTCTCCTATGCTGAATAATTTGACCTCATACTTCAAGTCATTTTTTGCCCGACTCCATGGCTCACGCGAAAATAGGTTTTTTTCTGTGTGTTTGCTGATCATTACTGGAGGCAATTTGTGAGAAGAACCTCATCATGAAATACTAAGTCTCAGTGGCTCAGAAAAAAAAAAAAAAAATACATTCTATAGGAAGCATGAAAATCCATTAAAGAAATCTATTATTCAAACTAATCTCTTCATTAACTATTAGGCTGATCGAAAGGAACGTGAAAGAAATAAAAGTGATGAAGTAGGAAAAGCATTGGTAGTACCCTTGTCCTTTCTCTCTGTGGGTAAGTACGTTGAAAAAACTACCACTACTCCTCTGAAAAAAACTCATTTCAGACAAGGCAATAAGAGTCAACTTATATATTTTAATATTTTTGGCATGTTTAATTAAGCATCTATACTTACCGCCGTTTTCAAAAATCATAATACACCTAATCGAATGCTATCTCAATATTTTGAAACTGCACATCTGTTCTGCGAGAACATAAAGGTTCTGCCAAGCGGAATCCATGGCTTCCCCTCCCCTCTGTACTGACGGGCAGAGAGCGTCGACGCGTAAAATTGAATTCCGCGCCTTTCAACAGCCAATGAGAGCACTTGCAGCAAATAAGCCAATCAAATCCCTTCATTTTTAAAATTGAATCACGCGCATGCGCAGTGTCTGGTTTCTGTAACGTAAACAAACGACAGCCGCGCTTTTTGCATTTGTTTTGTTCGGATTCTCGTTTCTGGCGGTTGACCCGGTTGACCGTAATCTGTGCTTCCCCGAAGTGTTACTGATAAGTGATCGCAGTTTTTTATAGTTCGTCGTTATTTCTAAATCAGAAGACTTGCAAATTTCACAGGAATTACGTGCTGACGATAACCAAGCTTTTCCAATTATTTTACTACCGGTGATCAGGTGAGCATCTCCTCAGTATTTCGAGTATTTCCCGTGATCTATCTTCACGTGGTTTGAAGTCCCATCGTCCACGGGACTTTTTGCGTACTTTCTCCTTATCGGAGCCTGTGGGAGTTGATTGCTAATTCATTACTGTTATATTCCTCAGCTTCTCTCTCACGATCACTGAATGATTATGATTTCACTAATACAGATCCTACTTCATCGCAGTCAGAACTTCACTTCATTTCTCAACTAACCTCTTGCTGGTCTCAACATTTTCAGATTCTCAGATTATCTCCATGGCATCAGTTTGTGTGGCTTCATTTCTAAAGTGAACGGTGCATATTTTATTGCCTTTACCAGCAAGCAATCTCAATTTAAAATATCTTTCCACTGCATGCCTTACCTCGAGCCGTTCAGCCAATTCTTGTCTGATAACCTAGCTCGTGAAAATGCTGACCTAGTAAATAAATCGCTTTAGTGACTACGTCATTTGATCCCTGATGGTTCCACCCAGAAGAAATTGTCCTTTTAGAAATTCATCACTTTGCCATGCTTTTTAAGGGCAGCACAATGGTCGTATCTATATGGAATGATGTAGCCATTGAATTAGCCTATTGGATCTGAAAAATGTTCAACCTCCAGAGGATGCCCAACTTGAAGTCTTGGTTGTGACCTAAGGAAGATCTGCTTAAGCGTTGAGGCCTTTAAAATTGTGTAGCTGATTAATTACTATTTGCCAAGAGAAAGAATATTGCCGACTTGTCCAAATCGCTGTCTGATTAATATTTTCATAATTTTTTTTGTATCTTTATCTTGTTAAAATATATAAAATATTTCTTAAATTCCTCTGTATCTATCACCTATCGAAACACATGTTGGTACATTTATCAAAACATGTTGAAGTAACTTGCATTTCATTGATTACAGATACGTCTAAGAAAAAATGGCCCAAGTTGAAGTACCTGGTAAGTTTTTTTCTCATTCATTCCTCTATCGAGTAGTGTTGCTAGGCCTGCATATTTTTGTACTAAGGGTGAAGTGTTGGGTCTACAGGGATCAAAACTCTCGTCTATCAAATTGCAACGCTTGCATGTTATCACCGGAGTAAGTGCATCCAAACTTTCGATCATACCTGAATCAAGGATGCACATTCTTTTACAGTTTACACAGTCACTGTGTTCTTCAAGCTCATACTGATCTTCTTACCGCGTTTGCTACGAACCTTGTACCGTCTCAATGAGTATCTATGAAAACCTTTGTCAAATCAAATTGTGCTCACAAGAAAACTTTTTCCACACAGTGCTTGAAGAATTTGCAGTCATTAGCTTGGACTGAAGTTTATTGTAGCGTATAAAAATCAAATTATCTATGTAAACTCTTATCTACTGTCGGCTTACTTTTTTTCTAAGAACCAAAAGTAAATTTTGAAGGCAATTTATGAAATTGTACACCCTGTATTTTGTACCTTTGCAGCCCATAATGATTGCCAACAATCTAAAAATATTGTAAAGAATCTATACCACTAACATCTGGGACCATAGCTCTGTAGCCTCTCTTCATTAGATATTTTATTAATCTCCTCTTCTACCAGTATAATTATCTGATAACTGTACTGCAGCCTGATTGTTGAAATCCTTTGTTTGTCGGGACGACATAGATGACATAGGTTAAAAGGCGGAGCGTGATTGGTCGGCTATGTCTTATCGCAGCTTTGTCGTGCCTTTGTCAGGTGGAATGGACAACATACTGTCGGAAACTTATGAGATACCGTTAGCTTGTCGTGAGTTCAACCCGATATAGGCACGACAAAGCAGTGATAAGACATAGCCGACCAATCACGCTCCGCCTTTTAACCTATGTCATCTATGTCGTCCCGACAAACAAAAAATTTCAACAATCAGGCTGCTGGTGTAAAGCTTTACTTCTCCAAAATCGTGTCAAAATCTATATCAAATATTTTCCCATTTTTGAACAATCTGCCATCTAATGTTTTCCTCCTAGTTCATTTGTAACTTCGTTCTCCTGCTAATTGAATGACATCTCGTTTTTTTTTTTCATTGCCGGAATCTTTCCACTATGTGTATGTACTGTGCTTTCACATCTCGAATTAGAGAAGAATTTTTTTTTCAAAAGTTGGAATTTTTCTCGTGATGCTTCAGCACTGCTTCTGACTCACTGAGAATGTCCTCTTTTTCTAGTGTTCTGCGAATATCAAATTTTGACATGCTTTTTGCTCCTCGAAAGGCTTATGGAGCGTTTAGGTTATCAAAGCATCAAACTTGGCCGGGAACTCGGGAAGAATGTATTAGTAAAGAATTGGGTTAAAAAATCAATAATGACTTGTCCAAGTAAATCTTTTTCCTAGGAATCCTTGTTCACCCATTTTTTCGTGATTTATTCTTGATGCCTTTTTTCCCCCTTCCTTTTGTAAAAAATACCCTCATTTTCAGCATGGATAGCAAAACGATAATACGATGCACATACGCTAGGGAACGTTTCGACGTTACCCAGACAGAAGGACGTATCTCCATTCCAAGGTTGCAAAATCTACACACGCAGCTGTGTTTTTCACACGAAAATCACAGCCCCATTTCTATCTGAAACGATGATTTCTAACTACAATCCATGAGCAAATTCGTGAAA